GAAACCGTGTACTGGTTTCAGCTAACATTATCAAACCTCGAACAATTGTTTACCTAATTACTTTCTTTGGTATGTTTTCAAATTTTAGCGATAAGACTTTTTCTCTAGATGCTGAAATTTTAATACTGAGAATAGAGGTTGTTGTCACTGAATTTCTCATGAAAAACAGTGATTTAATTTCTTTTATCCTTCTGTAACCTCACAGAACCCATCGAGAACGCTATCGGGACTGCTCGTCAGCCCACTAGTCCTTGGCGTCGTCGTGCAGAGGTACTACAGGACTCCCGGCGGGTCGCTCTTTCACGTGGCCTCGCGTGGGAAGAGAACCTCGGAGAGATTGACGACTATGTTTTTGAAGAGGAGGTGGATGATGAGGCTACCGGTCCTCCTAAAATCAGTGGAAGTCCACTCAACTTTGGTCCTTCATCGGCCCAGATCAAATCCCAGGAGTTAGCCCAGCAGTTGCAGAACCTCCAAATCAAAAAACCCTCCGCTTTCCGCATTCAACAGCCCTCGTACGTTTGTTCTTATTTCGCGTTGCTTGTTTTTACATTTAAGCGTTTCCTGTCGCTATCATTCCAAATTTTGTGTAGTACGTCGAGTTTTTGAAACTATACACCTCCGTGTGCGCTAACGCCTTTTAGCAAAACTTTAGTTTGGACTAGGGAGCGTTTTATGAATGTCATGTATTTATGGAAATACCTTGTATTACTGTACTCCCAATGGAATGGTGATTTAACGTTCCCATCACTTGCAGATGCTGTATTGTCTACCGCTATTCTATTAACTTGCTTTATTACCGAAAGCCTTGAGAAAAGTAGAGCCGGTCCCTAGTGGGTCCTGTTAAAATATTACGGGGAGACTCATGAAGTCCGATGCCTGAATAGTGCTACTCCTAATACACTCGACAATTCAACCGTCGATTTCGACTATGTCCACCGTATGTTACACAACAGGGTAATGCAGGGACGCTGAATTGCGCGTGATTTGGTTTTAAGTGATGGTAT